GATCCCTAGTCCCCCCTCGACCTGCCTCCAGACCAAGAGTCAGGAAGCTATGCTTTCAACAGGTGTTTGAAACTACTGCGTTGCAGGTGGTTGCAAGTGACACCTGCAGAAACGCTGCAAGGCAGCGTCAGAGAAAGGCAGGGGCCCCAGTCCCCCCCTACCCCGACTTGAGGCCTGCGCAGAGCTGGACGCTGCAGCGAGAGGGGCCCACGGCCTAGGCTCTAGGACTCCCAGTGCCGGGATCGCAGGAGCCGTCATCCTCACCGCCAGTCGCCACCCATGGGTTCCGACGCCGGGAACCCTCTGGGACCTTTCAGTCTCCCCGACATCCACCCTCGCCGGGGGAGCCATCCTGGGGGCGCCATCCTGGGGGCGCCAGGGCGGGGATGTCGGAGGGCGCGGGGGGGGGGAGGGGCAACTCCCGAAGCCTTTTCGGAGTCACTGGCATAAGTGACCGCGACAACGGGAGAGGGATGCACGGTGGCACTTACTGTAGCCGAGGCTACTTGGTCACTACTTCCCACCCCTGCCCCCATCCACGAACAACTAAGAACCCCCGCAAACGGGAATGCGGGGTCGCCCTCTCCCCGAAGCCCACTTTTGCAGGTGAAGACGTCCACCCTAACACTCTCCTTCCGGCCCAAACCCTGGGCCAGCGCGGTGGCTCACCCGGCCCAGTCATTCAATCCAAACGGCCGGAGCCCGCGCAGCACCGCAGCCTCAGAGCCGCAGGCACTAGCTGCGCGTGAGCAGCTGGCGGCCGGGGCGGGGCCCTCAGGCTCCTCGTGATTGGTCGGGGGCGGGACTACGGGCCTGAGGCTCTCCGTGATTGGCAGGGGGCGGGACTACGGTCCTGGGGCTCCCCTGAATGGTTGGGGGCGGGGCGACGGCCCGGGGCGGGACGACGGTCCTGAGGCTCCCCGTGAAAGGCCGGGGGCGGGGCGACGGCCCGGGGCGGGACGACGGTCCTGAGGCTCCGCGTGAAAGGCCGGGGGGCGGGGCGACGGCCCGGAAGCCACGCAGAGCCACGTCTGCGGTCCGGGCGCTGGCGCTGGGGTTCTGGCTGCAGTGAGGAAGCAGGTCTAGGCGAAGGAGGGAAGGAGGCTTCGGGCGGAGGTGAGCTGCGGAGGGAGACGGGAGGGCGCCCCGGGCGGCGGGGTTCGGTGGAAGCCGGGCAGGCAGGCTGCGCGGCCCGACCGACGGACCGGCGGGCGGCGACGCGACTGACCCCGGACACGCGCGGGACCCGCCTTCCGTGGGGCGCGGGGCGCGGGCGGCGTGGCCGGGGCCCAGGCGGGGCGGGTTCTCGCCTGCGGAGCTGGGGGAGAGCGGGAGCCAGGAGGAAGGCGGAGAGGGGAGGGGGCTGCTGGTAACTTCGTAGGACTTGGAAAACATGCTTCTGGGAGGAGCCTTGGCGTCCCCCGTGCAGGTGGAAGCATGTTGGAGTAACTCTGTGCGTTTAACGGGACTGCTTCACGCCCTTGTGAAGAACGATGACACATTGACCGACTGGTCAGTTTTCAGAAGGATTTGTTCATCCTTGTGCAGCACATTGGGTCACTGTGGCCCGCGGTGAGCTTTTCCAGCCGGACAAAAACATTTTCATTATTTGCTTTAATTTTTATTTGAATAAGCCGTTAAGGTCAGTTTACCGAGAGGTTGAGGCTAGGAGCTTTGGAACTGCCTTATCTTTTTGGGTTAACTGGGGGTGAAAGGACCCCAGAAATGCGCGTGTGTGCATGGACCGCCATGGGTGCACTCCAGGCCGAGGATGCAAGCCCCAAGTTCCACTGAGGTGACGTTTCCCAAAGAAAGAAATGGTAGTGGGCTGCATCCGTGTTTGAATTTTTAAAAATTAGGCAAAGATTAAAAGATGAGGCTAGTTTTAAAGGTTTGTTTGGGAAGAGGTCTTAATTTTCCTATGAGAAATGAACCCTCTGCGAAGTATATCAGGGGTTCTGGACAGTTTTGAAGAAAAAAAAAAGCAAAACTATTACTGGCCTTTGCTTTTCCTTTGGGGATATGTGATTTTGGGAGGTGTCACAAAATGAGCCCGCAGATTTCTCATAAATTTGGGGCGTATTCTACATTAGGACTCCCTCAGCTGCTGCAGCCAAACTTGGGTAAATTGGGGCCCAGGCTTACATTTTCCCTTCGGTGAAATGAGATGGTCTCTAAATCTAGCTGTAAAATCTGTTTTAACTGCTAGTAAACCCATTTTTACTCTAACTTAGTCTGGGAGGTGAGTTGGGGCAAAGTGACTTCCGGCCTACCGCAGTCGGCCCTTGACTGAACAGTGCAAAGTATGCAGGGACTTCTAGGTGTCTTCCCCCACCCGAGTGGCCCCAGGGCTTGGCAGGGTACCCAGCACTGACCTACCTGGTAGCACCACTTCTAAGCCAGGCTGACTTCGGGAATTTACCCTGCTGTCCTTTGTCCACTAAAACGTGGGTCCGTGTGGAGCTTCAGAATGAAGCATACCTATCAGGTTGGATTGGTAGCTTTTAGAGCAGATGGTACTTGAAAGATTTATTATGTCTGAAAAGTGTTCCTTCATTTTGTAGACATGGATTTAGGTGCCGTTACCCAGCGTTCAGCATTACATGCCAAGCCCAGTGGACTTGTTCTTCAGTATGGGACTGCTGGATTTCGAGCACACGCAGGGCATCTTGATCACATCATGTACCGCATGGGATTGTTAGCGGTCCTGAGGTCAAAACAGACGAAGTCCACCATAGGAGTCATGGTCACAGCCTCACACAATCCTGAGGTAACGCACGCGGGGCTCTGTTAAGGCAGCCGCTGTGTCTAGAACAAAACCTGGAGTCAAAGCAGGTTGAGTCAAAGTACAAACCCTAATTCGAGGAATGGGCCTTCTTTGTACATGCCTGTGGCTTCTGAAGAACTGGCTTAAGAGAGCGGCCATTTAGCTCGGGACTCACTAGAGGGTGTGGAGGGAATGCAGGGAGACCTTGGAGCTGTGCACATTAGAGCGGTGACGATGTCCTTGCAAGTCACAGTCGCTGAATGGAGGGAGGCATTAACAGTTAAACTTGACCCTCTGTTAACTTAGGGGTGATTGCGCAGATGGACGGAGGAAGGCCAGCCTTTGAGAAGACATTTTGGAATAATTCAGACATTTACAAAAACAGCTACACAGTGGTTTCCTGTTCTAATTGAATAGCCAACAACTAGGTCTAGAGACCCAAAAGTGAGTTTGGGGCAGAATATTGATGAGATTCTAGTCTTCCGAACAATGAAGGTTTTAATGAAAATGTTCTTTTGACATAATTATTTTCATTTTTCAGCTTTAGGTGCAAAAAAAATTATATATATTGAAGTTGTACAATGTCATGATTTGGTATAGTTATACATTATTGAAATGATTACCACAAGCAAGCTACTTAACACTCACTTCACAGTTTCCTTTTTTGTACCGAGAATACTTAAGATCAGCATTTAAGAGATTTGAGGTATATAGTACATTGTGATTCAATATAGTCCCTGTGATATCTTGACTTCCAGAACGTGCCGTAACTCTAAATGCCTTTATCTGTTTTCTCCACATCCAGCCTCTTACAATCATCACTGAGCTACCGTGAGTGCAGCCATTCCTAGAAATTAAATTACATTGCGCATATGTGATTATGTATCTTTCTATACCTGGCTTGTTTTTTTGAAAGTAGCGGTTAATGCTTAAAATTTTTTACTTTGACCAGTTTTATATGCTTGTATCTGTAATCTGAGCAACTACATTGAAGACAGCAATGTGCAGTATAACAATCATTGTTGAGTACTCTCCATCCTTTTTTTTTTTTTTTTTTTTTTAAATGTATTTGGCACAGGGTCTCTCTGTGCAGCTCGGACTCATAGTGATCTTCCTGTTTTCAGCCTCCCCAAGCGTTGAGATTACAGGTGTGCGCCCACACACCTGGTCTTCCTTTTTCTTTTAAATGTGTATTATTTCTAATGTCTTATCTGTTATTTTTATATTGTCTTTAAAATAAATTTAAAAAATAAAGGGACAAGAAAAAATGTAAGGTTTATTGAAAGGAAGAGTTAATATTTAATTGTTTGACCTATATTGCATGCCTATATCTGGTACCCTGAGCAACAAATTTTTTTTTTTTTTTAGAACTGGGGATTGAACTCAGGCCCTTGCGCTTGCCAGGAAAGCCCTTATTCTACTGAACCATCTCCCTGGCCCCATGAGCAACAAATTGGATAACAACATGTAGCATAACAACCATTTTTAATTTCTCCTTCTTATTTTCAAATTTTGTACTATTTTTATTGTTTTATGTTGCTTTGTTTTTGTCTTTGTTCTTGTTATTCGTTCCCCCCCACCCCTTAAAATTAGGGGGGGGGAAGGACATAAGTGTACTTGGCTTGTTTCATTTAGCATAATGTTGTCCAGGTTTGGCCATGTTGTTGCAGATCGCAGAATTTTCTGTTTCTTTTCAAGGTGAATACTGTATACATACCACACTTTATCCTTTCATGTGTCAGTGGATACTCAGGTTTTTTTTTCTCTGTCTTGGTTACCTTTTTTTTTGAAGTGCTGGGGATTGAACTCTGGCTCACACGTCCTGGACTCCTGCTTTACCACCGCGCTGCATCCCCAGGCCTTACTATTTTGAGATAGGATCTCACTAATTTTCCTGTCCTCCTGCCTCAGCCTCCTGAGGAGCTGGAATTACATGTGTATGTCACTATGCAAAGCTTAGTTACTATTTGGACGTAATTTAACTGTTCTATTTTTTCTTACCTATAGTCCTCTGCTTAAAGAGAAGTGTGAATGATACGCCTCTAGATTTTTGTCTTTGTACCAACAAGTCGAAGCTCTGTAGGTCTCAAATGGATGGTAACCTCTTATAGTCCATATCTCACCCATCTCAGTTATGGATGGTAACCCCAAAACGAGGATACTGCTTTGTTGACCTCTAAATATGTGGCCACCACCCGCATCTAAATATATAAATCACTGTAATCTATTGATGACTTGTAGGAACAACCTCACATTTATCGTTGCTTCCAGAAGCATTTTTCAGAAGAGTTCAGAGCTGTTTGGTTTAACAGTCACTCTAAACTATACTTTTCTAAAATAGGAATTTGGGTTGACCAGAGCCTGGAGTCAGCTTGGGGCGGCTGTGTGGGACAGCCTACTCTGGGAGTCAGGAGTCAGCTTGGGGCGGCTGTGTGGGACAGCCTACTCTGGGAGTCAGGTGTGCCCTGCTGCGTGTGCCCTAGTTAGCTGGTAAGAGACACAGATGACAGCTTAGTAGAAAAGCTTGTGTAGCATTGCAGTTGTTAGGTTTAAGTAAGATGGACTTGGTGTTTTAATATACTGGCACTGTATGACCATAAGCACATTCCCTAACTTCTCTGAACTTGTTACCTCTAAGCTGCAGTCAGAATAGATTATTAATTATATTGATAGGTTGTCGTGAGCAGGAAATAAGGCACTGGACTAAAACGCCTGCCAGCACCATTATTAGGTAGAAACCACTGAGGCTGCGCTGCTGCTCTTGCCGCGTTTTGGGGGAAGAAGCAACAAGGATGCGACCTTAGCTCACCCCGTGGCTTGTGCAAGTGGTGACTTCCTGTTCACTTTGCCCCAAAGGAAGACAATGGTGTGAAGTTAATCGACCCTTTGGGAGAGATGCTGGCGCCGTCGTGGGAGGAGCACGCCACACGCCTGGCCAATGCCGAGGAGCAGGAGCTGCCGAGAGAGCTTGTGGGCATCAGCGAGAGGGAAGCTGTGGACCTGCAGCAGGATGCCTTTGTGGTTGTAGGGAGGGATACCAGGTGAGTGTCTGGAGGCACTGTGTCGTGCTACAGTGAAGGAAGGATGGGGGAGCTTCGGGCCGCCGTGCACCAGCCGCTGGGATTTGGAGTCCAGCTGGGTTGAGCTCCACATCTGTCTCTACCATAGCCTGAGTGGGTTGTTATTCTGGAGCTTCTCTTGCCTCATCTGTGAACTGTTGGTCATTAGGCCATTACAGTGTCCCTGTGAGAATTAGATAAGACGTGGGAAATGAGCGAAGACACCCTGGCATGAGCGAAGCCCCTTCCCCTTCCGTAGGGTTTCCCCAGTCAGAAGGCATGATTATAATGTATTAATCTTTGCCCATTTTCTTTGTAATCTGTGATCATTGGCTCAAAAAATACATAAAGTTTTCTCATTTTGTAGTTGACTAAAAAAAAAGTGATTTGTATTTGGCTATTTTTGCCTTTCTTTACAAAAGTATTTTCTTTCTGTAAAGTGTTAGATAAAAAGTGTAGCGCTTTGAAAGAGTAGCGTTGTCTTTTGCCTAAGATTGGTTTCATCTGGAGATTCTCTCTAAGGAAGTACTTCCTCATCCTCCTAAGGGCTTGGCCTTTTCAGCCCTTACGGAGCTAGCAGAGTCTCTTGTGTTTGACCCTTTGCTGTGTCACTGTGCTGCGAGTACCAGTGCTGGTAGATTTGTAGCCAAAATAGGTGACTTCTCTCCTGAAGTACATTACTGTCCCACCTGTATTTTGACTCCTTCCTTGATATATCAAGTGATTATATCTTCTAAAAGAAGGTTAAATAAGATGTGCCTTCTTTTTAGATGGTTCTTTCTGAGATTATGAAATGAAAAATAGGTTCTGTGTCCTTGGTAGTTGAATATCCAGCACTGTGTTACACAAACTTTACCCTTCACTACTGCTGCTATTTGTTGCTAGTTGATCGTCTGCGTTGCTTTAGGTGCACTTGGACAGATACGTTGATATGTGCTGCCACACATGGAGGCTAGCCCTTGTATCTAGTCCCCAAATTAATGTAAAAGCCAAAGGTCTTCCAAGAGGATGACTTTGAAAGGCTACTGGCAAATGTTTATAATTTACCCGTATCTTTGAGAGTCGTTAGCTTTCAGTGCAGATACTGAAATGTGTTATTCGAAATCACTAGTTATTTGTTCTGACCAGCAGCTGTTTTCAGGAGAGTTACTCTTTTCCTTCCTCTCTTTCCTAGAGCCAGCAGTGAGAAGTTTTCACAGTCCGTAATAGATGGAGTAACTGCTTTAGGAGGCCTCTTCCATGGTATGTAACTGTCCTTAGTTGTAAATTAAATTAAATTTTTAAAAAAATTATAAATCTACTGTTTGAAACATAGATGAATAATACCAGTTAAAAAATTAACTTTTGGCTATAAAATATTATTAACTTAAAATAATCTTTCAGATTTTTTCTGGGCAGGTTTTTTAAAAAACTGGGAATACTGTGGGAAATTATGGGTAGGAAAACACTGATCTGATATAACTTCCTGTACTTTAGAAAGACGGGGTTTCTTTTTCTTTCTTTTTTTGATTTATGGACATAAACTTTTTTTGCAGTAACAGAAGAATTCCACCTAGGATTTTTTGGGTCAGTGTTAGGTATTCCCTAATAGGCGGCGACCTGTCCAACGCTGCTGGGAAATACCTTTGGCCTGCAGGTAATCATGACTTAAAATTGTAACTGAGCTTCCTGCCACAAGTAGAGCGGCAAACCCGTGGAGATGCGGGTCCTTTTATCTTGTGAAGCAGCAACTCCTGTGCTGTGAGCTGAATTCTCCTAGTGTCAGGTTTTTGTCACCAGGAAAATACATCTGTGGACTCGGAAGCCTCCTTCCTGGCTGCTGCCCTGTGCTCTTCTCAGTGGCCCTGGCCTTCGCCCCGAGCGTCCACTCGGCCTGCCTTCCGCCTGCTCGTCCCTTGCGGGTCCCTCAGCCTGCTGCAGGCGAGTGAGCCCTCCCTCGCCCGTCCAGGGAAGGGTGGTCTCCGCATCTGAGTTCTGCTTGCCAGGTTGGCCAGACACTGTCCGGGGGATTCTGAGTTTCGGGTTAAGGTGTACAGACTTCGCGGCCCTCAGGACATGTGTGGTGTTAACCCATATAAGGGCTTTTCTAGGGAAAGGCTGCATACGTTTTGTCTGCTACCTACAGAGAGCTGTGTCCTAAAAATTAACTTCAAGAGCGTATGTTCTAAAGCCTTGATGTTAGTCGACATCTTTGTATCTTTCACAGTTAAAACTTATTCTTGCTTTAGCTTCTAGTACTTGGCCACATTCCTACTGGGCTTCTCTGCTGGCTCCTCTAGGTCTTGACAAAGGGCCAGTGCGCCTGTTCTGCCTGCTTTCTGAATGATCATCTCTCCTGCCATAGCCCCAGTGACCTTTTTGCACTAGTAGTTTATCAAACCCTTGATTAGCTGCGGACTGTCACCGATAGTCTATTAAGTTGTGCGTCACCAGCCTCAGTGCGAAACCTGTTTCATGTCAGGACATGTTTGTCTGCTTGTGGGGACTGCAGAATCAGCCAGCGGGCCCCGCCCCGGACGGTGGAAGGCAGCATTTGAAGGATGCATTCACGTAGCGTGCTGCACTTGGAGTCTAAAACTTTTTCATTGTATTTTAATTTTATTCACCTATTGATTTTTACTACCCCCAGAATGGTTGATGTACTTTGGCATTTTCGGTTTTCTCTCCAGAATCATCATCATTCTTATGCTACTGTACATGTCTGGAGGAATCTAATAACGACTTCTTTTAACCTCTCCCCTATTTCTCTCTATCTTGGGGTGTATTTTAAGAGGATTAGTGGAGTTGCAGCACAGGGCGAATGAAGTGGCTGACCGACTAGAAGGGAAGGGTAAGGGTGAGAGCAGGGGCCGAGTTATTGTGAGCCTTTTAGGTTGCGTCAGGGACTTGGGTTGTGTTCCAAATGCAGTACAATGCAACTGAAGGATTTTATTTCATTTATTTTTTAATACAGTACTGGGGATTGGACTCAGGTTCTTCCTACTGAGCTACACCCCCAGGCCACTTTTTATTTATTTTGAGACAGGGTTTCACTGAGAAACCAAACTGCCTAGGCTATTCTTGAAACGGATCCTCCTGTCTCAGTCTCAGGGTTCTGGGATCACCTTTTATTCTTTTCATTTTTTAAGTGAGTCACTTACTTGTATAGAGAAGGAAAAGCCGTGAGGAGAGAGCAGCTGGGCCACTCTTGCGCGTATAGTGGTTCACGCAGTAGAGATGAAATCATGAAAAATAGGAAAAGTTTGATAAAGGGAGATAATGACAACTTTTAATCAGTCTATGTAATAGTCATGTTGCAACTGTTTATTTTGAAATTTTAATATTGGCCACAAAGTCTTTCTGCCTCTGGTATGTCTTCTGGAATACTTAAATACTTAATTTAGCTAGTCTCAGGTATTAGTCACTTTTTTCGAGCTCTCCTTCCTCCTTCCTTCTCCGTATGCCAGATCTGAAATTGCCTTTAGGAAGTGGTGTTTCTCTTGTACACCCAGCAGAGCACAGCGGCGTAATGTGGCTCCTTTTTACCTTGGCAAAAACAGTTGTTTGACTTTTAAGTATGTGGACAGATTTAGTCGCTGATTATCTATTGTTGGGTACTGAACCTCTCTGTCGTCCATTTCTCTAGTTTCTTGCTCACGGTGTGTTTCTTGTGTACTTACTTGTGTTTGGCGAGAAGCTGTTTTCTCAGAAAATTATTTATGGACATTTTTAAGATCTGTGATGCAAGATTCTTCTCTGGCAGGATTAAACGTTTTTCTCTGCTGAGGGCCCAGGGCAGTGCCGCTGGGCTGGGTCTGTTACCTTCATTTTGCTGGACTTCTGGGGTGATGTCACAGGCCAGCCTGTGGTTGGCATGACAGCTCTTGAAGGGCAGGATTTCTTCCTGTGTCCCCTTGCTGCAGGACAACCACCCTGAGGGGGACATGGAGCGCTTCGCTGCTGCCTGCCCCCGAGAGTGCACTTATAGGCTGTTGGAGTTCCCAAGCCTGCCTTGTCCCGCTTTCCCCATGTCAGTTCTTTGTACTGAAACACAGAAAGCTCTGTTTCTACTTGAGAGGAGTGCCCGGGAGCCAGAGTGGCCTCTCTCAGCTCAGAACCTGAGCGCTCTGGCTTCATGGAGGGTTTAGCCTGACAGTTCTTCGGGATTTATCCATAGCACAGTTGTTTTCCAAAGAGATTTTTCTCTTTTATGCAGCATTTTTGGTGGCTCTCAGGAGGATGATTCATCTAAAGTAGTTTGCAATGTTACTAGAAGCAACACTGTTACTGGTAGTATTACTTTGCTGTATTTTATATTTATTTATATTGTGTACTAAATCATTTTATTAATTATTTTTCAGAATTAATTAAATATATGAAATGCAGTTGTAGTGATTTTAGTGGGTATTTGTGGATCTGGACAATAGTTTGAAAGTTAACGATGTAGCTACATACCAATTTCCTATAAGGAATATAATTAGTATTTATGCAAGCATGTATCAATCAAGAAAAGTGTTTTTGAGTTTTCCAGGATGCCTTTCCCCCTCTGGTCTGGGAACTGAACTCATGCCTCCTGGCAGGCGCTCTACCTCCTGAGATGTACTTGGGTAGTACTGGGGATTGAATTTGCGGCCTTGAATGTCCTAGCCAAGGTGCTCTACCACTCAGCTCCAGCTCCAGCCTTTTTTTCGAAGAGGGTTTGTCACCTGGAGAGTCTTAAAGTACAATTGCATGTGAACTTTCTTCTTCATTGAGAAACGTGGCGCCTTGCTGTTTGTTTTTCTGGACAGATTACGGCTTACTAACAACACCCCAGCTGCACTACATGGTGTACTGTCGAAACACCGGCGGCCAGTACGGAAAGGCAACCGTAGAAGGTTACTACCAGAAACTTTCTAAGGCTTTTGTGGAGCTTACCAAACAGGTGAAAAACCTCTTGAATGGTTAAAATGCAGACAAGTGAATAGCATGGTCCTCGAACAGTTTATCTTAGTCATTCCTCCTTTTCCTTTCCACGTAAATGTAGCTTCTTTTTTCTCTCGAAAGCTCCACCAGATTCTGGTCTCAGTATCCTGCTAACTGTTCATGCCTCTGTGTACTTATTTTTACATTTGAATGGCTGTCATGTAATGCAAACTGTAATATTTCCTAGGAATCCTGTTCACTTGAGGTTAGATTGTATTAAAACTCCATTTGTACAAGTTGTTCATAAGTGAAAGTACTCCAGTTGATTTTTAAATTTTACTTTGGTGTTTTATAATTTCTGTCTAAATATGCTTATGTTTGTTTTCTGGGTTAAAAGGAATAAACTGAAATAAAGATATATATATAATGTTTCACTTTTGTAACTTGAAAATTTTCTCCTGTATGTGTTTTCTTTGCAGGCTTCCTGCAGTGGAGACGAACACAGGACACTTAAAGTTGACTGTGCCAATGGTATAGGGGCTCTGAAGCTAAAGGAGATGCAACAGTACTTCTCGCAGGGACTGTCTGTTCAGCTGTTTAATGATGGGACCAAAGGGAAGCTCAACCATTTGTGTGGGGCTGACTTCGTGAAAAGCCACCAGAAACCTCCAGAGGGTGTGTGTTACTAGCACTGTGAAGATTTGGTTTTAGAATTGTTTGGGGCCAATCTCATTTATAAGCAAAGTGGTCAATGAGTTAAGAATCATGTAGCTGGTCCTTTCTCTGCCATTTGTAGACATGTAGGAATTTTCCCAGTTGTCCAGTACACTCTCTGTAGTTTTTGTTTTTTTTTTTTTTTTCTAATGTATTTGGCCTAGGGTCTCACTATGCAGCTTGGACTCATAGTGATCCTCTTTTCTCAGCCTCCCCAGCACTGGGGTTACAGGTGTGCAACACCATACCCAGTCTTGCTGGCTGGCTCAGCAAGCCCAGGGGCTGGGCTGGCAGGGCATGTGGTGCTGGGGATCAAATCCCAGTCCCTGAGCTTATCTAAGCAGGTACTTAGTCCACTGAGCTATCTTGCTGGCCTCTGTATTTGTCTTGCTGCTCATAGTTGGTAGGAAATCTGCTGGAGAGAGCAGAGGCAGAAAATGACATGGCTTCGAGGCTTCAGCACACCTCAGAATTGCCTTTTAGTACCCAGGTTCACGTGCCCCGCCCCGCTTCTGATTTGCTGTGTCTGGGGATTGGTTTGCACAGTTCCCAGGCTTTGTTCATGGGGAAGCTCTGGTGACTGCACGGTGAAAGGTGGCCAGAGGAAGCAGCATTGTCCTTTCCCTCATCTTCACAAGTTAGGCCACAGAAAGAGAATGTGATTTTAGTTCTGTTGCCTTATGGATCCTGAGTATCAGCCTGTAACCAAAACCTGGCCTGAAAACAGACGTGTTAGGTTTGGTTTGCCAGCTGTTTGCCTGTGTATTTAGTGCATTAGTTGCCACTGTTAAAGAATTCTGTGAGTTCTCGTAAATACTGGAATCCCTGTTGTTCTTTACCAAAACTCAAAATATCTCTTCACACTTCACTTGCTGCCACCCCCTTTAAGTATGACATAGATTCTAGAGTTAACTTAGCCTGCCTTACTGTAGTAAGCATTTAAAATTTTCATTAAGTCAGCCATGTGGGGGTTCTTTTCCTTGATTTTCTCCTTTTGACATTTATTTCCGTGTCACTCGTTTATCCGTCTCCTCCTGTTAGCTCTCTCCAGTGCGGTCTGTGCTGGGTCACAGCGCGAGCTGAGTGTAGCCCTTGCTGCCTCTTCCAGGCACCACTTAGGCACATTCCGACGAAGCCATTTCTCAGCTGCCTGGGTTGGCTTTGTCCCTCTGCTGCCGGTACAGCTAAGGATCAGCCTGATACTTTAATAGTTGCTGAGGTTTCCGTAACTTCATATGTATTGTACCCGCCAGTTGGTTATCCTTACAGGTTATGATTCTGAACTCTTAGTCACCAGTGTTTCTTAGTATTGATTCTGTGAACAAATAAAACTATTTCTTTTAGAGTTAAAACACACATCGATGGCTGATTACTTTTTAGGTATAAAGGACCCCAAAGTTCTCGTAAGATTTCATTCAGGAATCCCTATAGCTTTCAGAAAACTGCAGGAAACCTGTCTAATCAAATCAGAGGGCATATAAAGTGGAATTTTAAGCCCGGTGCAGTAGTGCGCACCTGTAGTCCTTAGCACCCTTGGGTACTGGGGCAGGGACTGGGAAGGGCAAGCCTAGGCCCAGCAACTTAAGCAGACCTTACTTCTAAATAAAGGTCTGACTGCCAAAAGGATGTACAAAAGGCAGTACAGGGCTACAGGATAAATCCTGAGAGTACTTGGCTGACTTCCCCCCCTCCCCAGGCAGAAGGATTTTTTTTTTTTTTGCTCCGAATGCCTTCAGGTCAGGTGTGGCTGGCTTAAGTTGTGAGGATCGAACCACAGCAACCTGAGCCTGACAGCTTTGTTGAAGCAGCCACTTAAAGAACTGAGCTACGGGGCAGGCCCCCTGGCTGACCTTATCAGATACAAAAGTTACATTTCTGGGAATATAGGTCTTGCTATATCTTGGCCTTAACCATCCAGCAGAAAAGTATAAAAATGAGGTATATAAAGCAAATGCATATTAATACGATGAGCTGTAAAAGGCTCAAGTCAATAACTTCTGAGGATAACCCACTAATATTATAGACTGCTAGACAGTGTTGGATTGTTTAGTTGAATTCAAACACTTATAGTATTTAGATGCCAATGGAATATTCACCTCTGACAGGAAAAAAAAAGATACAAAGGAAAGATCATTTTGTATTTATATATACAAAATAGGATAAATTTACAGCTACTTTCGCTTAACTCACTGAGAAGAAAGAGGTGTACTAACAGTGTTTGGACAGAATATCCTGTCTGCTGCTTGTACTATGGATAACCACTAAGAAGATAACAATGTACAGTGTATTGACTATCAGAACTGTCCTATTAATCAGCTGTGAAACTGTCTCATTCATATTTATTTCTCAAAAAAAATAAACTTCAAAAAAAAAGGTCTGGGGGTATAGCATGGTACATTTAATCCCTAATACTGTTATTTTTTTTTTTTTTAAAGTGGAAATTTTAGTATTACAGCAAGTTTCAGCATAGATATTTTCTTGAACTTTTTTCCATTTTGAAATAATTTGATTTGTAAAAATGACTAATAAACTGGACATTGAAAGATTAAAACTAGTTATTATTTGAAAGGATAATTTTAAACATCTCTTGAAAAATTTATAGTGGATCTGCCATATGTACAACACATGAGGCCAATTCTGATCATGCTTTATTGAAATGATTTTCCCCTAGTTATTAGTGTAAGAGAAAAGCCTAACATTTTTCTGAGTTTTATTCCTGTTTCTAAGACGGAAGTTACTTTAAATTTGCTTGTGCAAAAAAAAAAATAAATAAATAAATAAATTTGCTTGTGCATTAGGAATGGAAATGAAGTCTAATGAAAGATGCTGTTCCTTTGATGGAGATGCTGACAGAATTGTGTACTACTATCGGGATGCTGATGGCCAGTTTCACCTCATAGACGGAGACAAGATAGCAACGTTGGTTAGCAGCTTCCTTAAAGATCTCCTGGTGGAGGTAGGATGGCCGATGCTTGGCCGCCCGCCCTTGAAACCGCACCCATTAGGGAAGTTGCTGCATGGGTTTGAATGTCTCAGAGGCATAATTTAGGGGACGCGCTTCACATCTGTGGCTAGAAAAGTACTAAAAGAAGTGGTAATTCCAGTCATTTCAACATTGGGCCATGAGTTTTAGAACCTGAGGTGTTCTTTCCTTCCTTCTGCTGCCTAGATTTTATGCTTAGAAGCACTAAGTTGATTTCTTCCCAAGTTCTACCATTACATCATAAATCCCCAAATTCTGACAGAAAATTTATCTTGGATATTTATTCTGATTCTGATAGGAATGTGAGTCCCCTCCCCACTTTTTCAGGATTTTAAGGTGAAATTAGAAATTATATTTGAGGGCTGGAGAGATGGCTCAGTGGTCTAAAGCACCTACTTGGAACAAGCTTGGCAAAGCACAGGAACCGCGGTTCGATCCCCCAGCACCACATGCCAGCCAGCCGCGCCCCCTGGTGGGCTGAGCTGGCCACATACACACACACACACACACGCACACACACACGCACACACACACACACTAAATAAATGTTAAAAATTATATTTGAGAAGAGCTGTATCTTAAGAATTCAATAAATGCTTTTATTAAAAATATAAAAGACGTAAAGACAGGAGACAGGCTGTTTTGAGGAGGATTCTCTGGTAAGTAGTGCTCAAAACTATCGTAGGGGGTTTTGGCGTACATATTTTTAATAAGTTCCTTATTGCATAACCTCAGGCACAACTGAACTGGCTGATTTTGTTAGTTTTAAGAACTCTCGGCTTTGATGATGTAGACTGTAGTTTTGACGACAAGTTAAATGTCACTGTTTTTGCCTAGATTGGAGAAAATTTCAATGTTGGTGTTGTGCAAACTGCATATGCAAATGGAAGTTCAACGCGGTATCTTCAAGAAGTTATGAAGGTATTGATCCATTTTTATTTTATGACAGTTTCTTAGTAATTGTAAAATATTTCTGACCTGCATAATGTCCTCATAGAAGTGTGCAAGCTATAGTTCTGAAGCTGAGCTGTATTCATGCAAGGGTAAGTAGAAATCAAAAAGAAAAAGGTTACTTGTCTCTGAGGCAAAATGATTTTCCTCATTCCTTTTCTTAGATCATTTACTTTAGTTTTTAAAACTTAGGAATTCTTTCTATGGCCTCTTGTACTCAGTGTAAATATTTCAGAGGCCAAATAGGCCAGTTTTATAAGTCAGGAATATGAAAGGCCTGGTGACCCCCCTCACAAATACAACCCCTAACTTGGGATGAGATTCCCTTAGGTGTTATATTATTCCTTTGGGTGAAGTCAGTTAACCAGAAGCCAATTCCAATTAGCACGGAAATTTATACCCAGGAAATTTAGCATCAACTCTGATCACAAATGGTATTTTGAGGCTTAGAGTTTGAGGATTAATACTAAATAACAATTATTCCTGACACTTTTTAAAGTGGTGAGGCAGGTTGGTGTTCAGGACTCCTGTGATGTGCTAGGTTTCTGTGGTGGAGTTTTGCAGTCAGATACAGAGCTAACAGCCAACTACAGCAGGGAAACGTGGGCTTTTATAGCCAAGGAGCAGGGTGTTTGTGTGCGTGGTGGTGGTCAGCAGCTGCAGAGTTGGGAGGAGTGAAAGCAGACATTCTGGCTAAGTAGGATTTTCAGTGAAGGCAGGCCAGGTGAGCAGGCATTCGGGGCAACAGTGGAGGATGAGGATCTGGCCATTGATGGGGGTCCGTAGGGGATTCCGGCTGAACCAGGACTCTTAGCAGAATTCCTGCTGACACTGGGCTCTTGGAGGGTGTGTCGCATTCTGGTACCGAGGTGCACTCAGGTGCTGGGAGTCGTTGTTTACATAGAGAACTTGGCGGAAGTGACTGCGTCTGCCTGGCTGGTACGGGTTTATGCTTTTACGATCTCCTTAGCAACCTGCCTGGGTGTGTGTGTCATACTGTCATGACGGAACTGTTCCTGCACATGTCTTTCTTAGGGTTTCTGGTTTGATAGATTTTTTTTGTAATTATTTTTTGTCCAACAGATTGCAACTCTCTGTACCTACCGTGGCCACTATTCTAACAGTGAAGGCAGAGCCAGAATTGGTAGTCATTTTCCCTTTCTCATTTTCCTAGTTACAAATTAATGTGTGCCGGCCCCACCCCCGGAGCGCACTGAGACTGTGATTGAGACTGGGTGTAGTGGCACATGCTTGTAGTCCCAGCTCTTGGGAGGCTGTAAACAGGTGGGTCCTAGGAGTCCAGATCTAGTAGTGAGACCCTAAACACACTGTATACCCTTCCCTAAAATATAGAAAGAAAAAAAAAATCAGTGCAGTATTTTTCCAACTTTTGTGTGAGCCATTTCAGATTCCTTCAGACTGTGGGCAGGGTAAAGTGAATGCATGTCCTAGTGACTAAGGGTGGGAAGACGTGTGCCCGGGCTAGCCACTGTGGTCAGATTCTTAAAGAGAAGTGGATATCTGAATTTTTATGGGAATTTACTCTTAAGAGAAATAGATGGTAGCAAAATTTATGAACTGATTTGAATATAGTATTTAAAATTCACATTTAAATATATATATATATATATATGTATTTATTTATTTTCGTCTATGATTAAAAAACTCAAGACACTCCAGGTTGGGCCCCGGTTCCTGTTTTTCGTAGGGATGCTCAGTACTGAGGTGGTTTAAACAGTGGTACTGTGTTTTGAGAAATGTCATTGGGTGATTCAGTTATTGTGTAAACATACAGAATATAACACAAAGATGGCTCTGGTGTAACTGGGGGACATGTCCTGCGGCGTCACTGTAGCTCATGCGGCTGTCACTGACCAGAACATTGTTATGTGGTACATGATTGAATTTTAATTTTGTCTTAAAAGCCTCTTAGATGTCCTTTTTAGGAAACTGAATATACAGAAAAAATTATTCCTGAGGACTCCCAAGGGCAAGCCGCCGCTGATCCTGAGATCTTGTTTGCGGTCACTTTGTTCCTCAAACATTCTTAAATCTACTCATGGTGTGTCCACTCACTCTGGCTGGTCCAACCCCGTACTTGGATTAGACCTGGCAACTTCCTAACTTGCCCCTTGCTTAATCTTTAAGCCAGGAGTAGGCAGGCAGTGGTTCCATCAACTCTTAACTTGCTGCTAGAAGACTTTATTGAAACAGAGCCATGCACACTTATTAGAGAATGAAAACCTGAAATATTTACCAGTTGGCCTTTGCCAGGAAAAAGGCTTACAGCTCCTTGCTGGAAGCCAGTCTCCCTGCTGCAGCTCAGACGGCTAAGGCAGTTTGGGTTGTGCGACGGCTCTCTTAAAACCTTTCACCGTCTTCTTGAGACCCTCATGTCACCTGGCTTTGGCTGTGAGCCTCCACAGTGCCTTGGTTTCTCCATAGTGGCCCGTTTGTATAATTTGTGTGTACAGTGTATTTGTCATCTGAATAGGTGCTGTTGTGTTTGCTTGTGTGTACGTCATAGGTGCCCGTATACTGCACTAAAACTGGCGTGAAACACTTGCATCACAAGGCTCAAGAGTTTGACATTGGAGTTTATTTTGAAGCAAATGGACACGGCACAGTAAGTTGAACATTTTGTTTGTTTGTTTGTTTTTTAAATAAGAATTGCACAAAAGAGAAAGAATTGCACTTCTGAGTAGTGATAGCTAATACGCTACTCTGTTGAAATACGACATGGTGGTAAGATTAGTTAACATGTATTTCTTTTTAAATGTATTCAGTACAGGGACTCACTACACAGATCAGACTCCTCCTGTCCGCCCCAGGGGTGAGGCCTGCACGCTGGCACGGCACGCTGGGGGTCGAACCCCAGCCCCTGCGCCTGCTGAGCAGGCACTTCAGTCCGCTGACCTGTCTGCCACCCCTCACTTGTATTTTCAAATATTGTGAGACTGTTTCTTTTGGATTTTTAAGATCTTTGTGAGGAGATTCTGACTTTTTTCTAATAATTAAAAATAATGCAGTTTTTTCATTTTCTTTCCTTGCACTGACATTTGGAGGGAAACGTTTGAGTAGCTGTGGTGAATTGAATTTGAGAATTACGTAACTGTAAATAAATTTAAAATAGTGATAGCATATTGGATTTAATATCTTTCTTAGTGTATATTTAGAAAATGTTTGAGATGTAATTCACATACCATAAAATTTAGAGAGTGTATAACTAAGTACTTTTTAGGTTCATGAGGCTCAAGATCTTTTTCCCCACATTCCCCAGTCTTCTAGTTTCTATTAAGCACACGCATGTGCTATCAGTGATTTCACTGAATCTTCAAACCGTGGTTTGGACAGACAAGTTATTTTTAGAATTATAGCTGAGAGCACAGAGGTTTTGAGAGGTGACACACTTTTTATTCAGAACCTGACTCCAAAGGCTCTTTTCCTTTAAATGGACCTTGAAGCATCCTTACTAGACTTGCCTGTTCCCTGAGGTCTGGTTCCTCCACTTTGTGAAAAACTGCCCAGAATTTACTGCATAAGGAATGGTTCCAAGTCTCGCTCCTCCCCATTTCTTGCTCTCTTGCTTCCGTGTAGAGATAAGGTGATCGTGCTTGGGCAGCACTTGGGGACAGGCCTCTGAAATACTGGTGCCTTGGTTAGAAGCCAACTCCCAGATTGTCCTGCTTGGTCTCGGCCTCAGCCCTGGCCCAGAGACAAAAAAGCAGCTCAGCCAGGCAACCAGGCATCGTGGCCAGCGCAGCGGGCTGCCAGCACCCGTCCTCTAGGAGGGGTTTTAAAACTTGTGGCTTTATGGTTCCCTCTTCTATAGATTTGAATTGACCAACAGGAAATTTGAATCTCGGCCAAGTCACTTTGCTTATTAATTCAAAGTTGGCTTCCAGAGGCCGTAAATGTAAGGAGAAAAAGTTCCTATAAAATGCAGCTAAAATGTTAATGTTAGTGACCTAATGCAGGGCCCGCTGAGTGCGTCTTTAAAGGACAGTAATGGGTATTTTGGGCCTTATATGTCTCATAATTGCTCATCTTTACTCATACAATACTGTAGTGAGACGGTAGGGCTGTGTCTCAGTAGAACTTATGGAAGCAGGTGCCCCAGCATGTACCAGACTCTGCCAGCAGACAGCTGAGCAGGATGGCAGCTGAGCAGGGTGGCAGAGGGACCAAAAAAGCTGGGGAAGGCACTTCAGGGGCACAGGAAGCCCGAGGAACAGGCTGTGGGTCGTAGTGCACACCTAGCACACCGTCTGTGTGAGGACGTGTGATGAGCCCTCTTTCTGGGGCTTCCCAGCACATCATCTTCGAGGGATAGACGGGCAGGCTTGAGGTAATCGAGCCCGTAGAACTAATTTAAAGGGAAACCAGAATGAACTCATAAAGTATACTCACCTTTTGTCAAGGTGGAGTTTCTTTAATCAGCTGTTTCTTTGATTACCAGTTTTATAAGCCATACACTTTTTTTCCTGTGATGCCCTTTGGGTTCCAATTTGATCTCGTACCGATTTCATGTAAGGCTGCCATTTCCTCCTTCAGTTTCTCTAGTTTCTAAAAGTCAGAGTGGTTTAGCTAGCATGACAGTATTCTAATTGGGCTTATTTCTAATGTGTGACTGATTCCTTTTGCTTTTATTGCAGGCCTTGTTTAGTAAAGCCGTGGAAATGAAAATAAAACAACTAGCAAAAGAATTAGAAGATAATAAAGGAAAAGCTGCTAAGATGCTTGCAAATGTCATTGACTTGTTTAACCAGGTCAGGCCTGATGGGGTGGTGGCTTTTCATATAAAAAATGAAAGCAGAGAAGTCACGACCTGCTTGCTGCTCACAGCAGTAACATATCTGCAGTTGAGATGCTGACAGGAACGAGCTCCCCACTACATTTATGGTGAAAATAAGTACACTGAGTAGCTGCCCGTAGAATCAACAGGTTTAGCTACTGAGTTACAATTAAAAAGAAATTTAAGGAAATTGAGTAAAACTAATTGGTCATTTCTCTGACAGGATGTATAGGTGGGGACAGATGGTTGCGACTGGCGTGTGGCTACCAAAGAGTAATAATTGAGACCAAAACGTGAGGGGACCAGTATTTGTTTCGCATATACCAAGCCCTTCGCATACAGGGTTATATAGTTCCTGTCTTCCAAGTGAAGAAACAGGAGTGCTGCGTCTGGGCCCGCCTTCAGGCCGTGCTCACACGAAGCTCGTTTTCTCCCTTTCATGCCGATACCTTTGTTGCCATGGTGCACTATGTCAGAGGGGTCTGATTATAAAGAAGAATTTGAGTCGCAGGATGTTAGGGTGAAACTTGTCTTTATCTAGTGTACTGCTTTTAGGTGAAGGGCATGAAAGGCAGGTTTCCCTTGATTTGCTTTTAATATTTGTTGTAGGGCCAGGGGATAGCTCACTTCAATTAGTGTTTCCCTAGCAAGTGCGAGGGCCTGAGTTCAATCCCTGGTTCCAGAAAAAAAAAAAAAAAATTTGTTGTATATTGTCTCCCACACATGGTGTCTTGCTGCTGCTCGTCTGCACTCCAGTTAGAAATGTAATGTGAAGAGAGCCGAAGCACAGGGCATCACTCCTGCTTTGCCCAGAAGGACCCACGCTTCACTTGTTGCTTGCATGTTGTTTCCCTGCCCTGCAGGCAGCTGGTGACGCCATCTCGGACATGCTGGTGATTGAGGCGATCCTGGCACTGAAGGGCCTCACGGCGCAGCAGTGGGATGCGCTCTACAGGGATCTTCCGAACAGGCAACTCAAAGTGAAGGTGTGAGAGACATTTTAGCATCTTTCCTTAATGATGACTAAAACTGTCATTTGTCTGAATTTCATTGTTTTATAAAGTAAGGCTGTACTGTTTTCTGACATCTTTAAAATTTAGAGTAACCATTGTATTGTTTAAGAAGTACTTGGTTTCCAGTTTCCTTATTATAAGGAATATTATGCATGAGTTCATCACTTAAGAAAGATTTTATTATGAAAAATTTAACAGGGTGAATGGTGGAAGCATAAAATCCTACCTCTGTACAAACTTAGTTTTAATAGCGTTGCTATTGTCTTACATTACGCATTCTCTGTACTCCACCCCCATGTTATTTAGAAGCAAAACCCAGATAGCCTATCAAGTGAAAATACTTCCTTTGCATTATTTTTAATTTACAAAAGTTTTTCCTTAGGCTGCTAAGGAGTAAAATCTACTGCCATTTACGTATCTCCAGTAGAATTTGTTAGAAGACAAAGTCAGAGCTCCCAGAAGTGGCTTCTAATTGTTGATAGTTTGGGGCATGTTTAGGAGATAGCATAGCTCTCTTATACCAAGTTGCCACTATCCTATTAAAAGTACCTGAGAAATGGTACACCTTGAGATCCTAATGTTAAGTGAAATAAATCAGACATACAACTTAAATAGTGCATAGTTTCTTACATAGGAAACCTAAAATGAAAGGAAAAAAATAGCACTATAAGATCTTTCATGCACACAGGAAGAGGATGAAAAAAACAAAACAAAGAAAAAAACCCAGATGTATTATGTACTCTACCAACTCCCCATGAGGACTAGTCCTATGCTGTCAACATGTCCAAAAATAAATACCTAAAGGTATTAGGTAATTGGAGTCTGAGATATGATAAGTTATGGATGTAAAATTGTATAACACTCACTGGCCACTATACACGTCTGTAGAATTTTGTTTGCCTAAAGGAATAGCTCTAAACCTGGGGGCAGAAGCCCTTCGTTTCATCTGATACTTAGTCTGGTACTTCACTGCCTCAGCCTTACACTAATACAACAGGCCGAGGTAGGGTCTCCTGCTGGTAATTCCCAAAGATAGTAAGTGGAGCGGCAGGTTAGGCTTCTGAAAGGGATTTAACACGTGTAACAGAGAGCACCTTCTGCTTAGGTTGCAGACAGGAGAGTCATCAGCACCACAGATGCCGAGCGGCAGGTGCTCACGCCGCCTGGACTGCAGGAGGTGATCAGCGACCTGGTGAAGCAGTACCGGCTCTCGCGCGCTTTTGTCCGGCCCTCGGGCACGGAGGACGTCATCCGAGTGTATGCCGAAGCGGACTCACAGGTAAGTGGGGGGAGCTCGGAAAAGCCGTGCGGTGAGGCTGTCCTGACGGAGGGCCTGGCGGGAGCACTAGCAGAAGACAGAAAAGTGTTTTAGTACCATTTGCAATTCTAACATGGAGGTTAAGGTTCTATTTGAGATTTTGTTCGTGGAGTCTGTTAGGATCGTAAGAGTCAAGATGATCACGAATAGTTAAGGTGAACAGAGCGCACTCCTCTGGTTCACTTTCCCCAGACCAGGAAGGCCTGCGTAGTTCCGGTTGGCCTTGAACTCACTGTGTAGCTTAGGTTGGCTACACAGCGAGCCAGCGGCCTCGCCTTGCCCAAACATTTGATTTACTGTCCACTTTCTCAAGTGTCATCCTTCTGTGACAGGGCTAACTTACTCAGCCCGTGTTGATGCTGGGCACTGCGAGGTGGACCGGCCCGCTGTGTGAGAACAGCGCTGTGCTCCAGTTCGGAACCGACCCGGCTGTTGTCTCCCACCTGGGGTCGAGCTCGGTGGTCAGGAGTTACATAATTTGCCTCTTCACATATTCCATCTTTTCTGTCACCTTAGGGTCTTGATACAAGGGTTTGCACAGAAATATAGTTTGTTGAGCAGGGACTTGGAAGGAGCCATTTATGAGACTTGGGCAGAAGCGTAGGGCACCGAGCAGCCCTGGGGGTCCGAGGCGGCAGCTGTGGCCTAAGACCATGATGCAGACCCCGTGGAGCCAAGTGCCCAGACTGCGAGCCCAAACCCACTTTCTGCAGAGGGCCCGACTGCCAGTTAGACCTGCAGACTGAGATTTTAGTTTGGCAAAAATAATTCAAACATTAAAAACAGGCTTTCCACTGTCCTGAGTGCCTTACTTTTGGGCCAGTCGTGGCTGCCTTGCCTTTAAAGGGACTTGGTCTTACTGAATTTATTCAGAATTTTGAAATAACTAATTTTATTTTCTGGATTAACTAAAATTTACCTTATTAGAAGAATTTGACTTGCTTTCCATTTATTTAAGGGCCTGGGAATTTGTTACTGAGAGATGAAAAATGTTTCCATTTGGCTATGCTGAGTGAATATGAGGAAGCCCCCCCAGCTGGCAGGGTGGATGGGGCGGGTCCTCATCCCACCTCTCTGATGCAATCTGCAGGCAAATGCAGACAGCCTCGCCCATGAAGTGAGCCTGGCGGTGTTTCAGCTGGCCGGAGGCACTGGAGAAAGACCCACGTCAGGTCTCTGCGGATAACGTTCATCTTCTGAAAACTGGACTTTTGAAAAGCTTTTACAAAACTAACAACATTCATAATCATGTTTACATGCACCTTATTGGATTGTTTCTAATCTTTTTTTCCTAAACACTACTAGAATTTTTTTTTTTTTAGAAATAGGTAAGCTTTTTATGCTTATTTTACCTCTGATTTTAGTCTAATATAAAATATTGGCACTTCGATATATGATTCAGTCATTAATTTTACAGTGTATGCAAGGAACAAATCATTCAGAACACTGGAAAATTAAATCTGATTACCATCTTCGTGTCACATCTTTGGTGTCACCGTTACCTACGAGGTGTTGTTCCCCAGCCACAGTGCAAATGGGGACGTGTTAAAGACCTTATGCTGCTCAGTGTTCTATGGCACAGCACCGGTGTGGTATCCGATCACTTACCACCATCAGGAATCAGGAGGCATGAACAGGGATGGCCCCTCTCCACGCCCCAGCGGAGGGGAAGCTGCCCGTGCTGTCCTTACGAAGCTACGTACGCATGATGGTTTTCCGGCCCTGCTCTCAGTGAAGGGATTTGAAAGACCTAAATCTAATGTTCTTAAGCCTCTGATGGCGAACCATTCGGGTACTAGAGCATGGCTAGTAGTGGGTAGCCAGAAATCCCTACCCAGTCTAAATTAAACAACACCTGAAACCATTAGAAAAAAATGTGTGTATTTTGAAGACAATTCAGGACAATAAAACAATGGACCAGATATACAGAGAGCGCCTTGTAGGCACCATACTCAGCATGAGCCAGCACTATTTACCTTGAGCCAGGCCACATTCAGACACTAGCTCTTCTTCTTTACAAATATTTAAATATAACCTAAAATGTGTTCTGTTACATATATAAAAAGGAAAACAAACTATACAACTCAGGAGTGTATCTGTTTTAAATAACTGCAGTGAGACCACGGGTGGGGCTCAAGTTTTTATCACCCCTTCCAGAAAGTCCTTCTCCACCATCTCTTCTATTTTTTGCCTGGCTTTGCTGGAAAATGCTTTGTGGTTCTCCATTTTCATGTCCTTGTTAGGGAAGGTGTTTGCGTAGAGGACGGGGCTCCCTGAGTGGCCTCCACACCGACTTGTGACTTTGCTGTTGAAGACCTGGCTGAGGACGTTGAAGAACGGCAGCAGCTGCTCCATGTTGCGCACGGTGCAGACGGTGAGCAGCAGGTGGCCGGGCTCCCAGCCCAGCGCTCTCCCCGAGGGGTCTTCCTCTGGGTTCTTCTGTGGAGAACAGTCATTGGTGTGTTGTGTTAGAAACAGCAGACGGACATAAACATCAGCAGTCGGTTAGAAATGAACACAGGTGATGTTAGTCTGCATTCAGGCCTGATGAAAACCTTGTCTCTTCTGGTACTGGGAATTGAACTCAGCACCTCGCACTTGCCAGGCAGGTGCTGTGTCACTGAGCTATACCTCCGGCCCAAAAGCCTGGTTTTTAAGGCCTTTCATACTCTTGGCTAATTTTATATGTAGGAGTCTAACCTGCCTCGTGTAATAATAATTTCCAGCCATAATGCACAGGTAAGTATAATTAGAATTTATTTTAGTGATAAGGAGTCAATAGAAATGACAGGCTCCTTGATTTCTGGACTCCCACTACTAATACAACCAAGGACTAGGTCACAAATGGTTATGAAAGAATTAGGAAAGGACAGTGAGCTTCCTACATTAGCAAGCTAAATGGCCTGAACTTGCCCCAAGATGATAGCGGGGTCCAAAAGTGTGTTGTACCACAGAGAAGAGAAGGGACGCCCAGGAGACACTGCTGTTGCCTTTTTGGCTGTGCTAAGCAGGAAGGAGAGGAAGCTTGCCTTGGAGCCAGCGGAGCTGGGTTCGTGTTTGGCTGGGCCTGCTACTTACTGCATTGCATCCTTGGAGAGGGCATAAAAGTTCTGGGGGATAAAATGGGAAAAGCTACCTAATGGCAGCAGGAGAGCCAGATGAGAATGTATTTTGCAAACTGTCAACTAAATACAAGCACCAATACTTTGTTTGAGCTCATTTCAGAAACCAGCTAGAAATGTGGCAATAGTGGTGCATTCCTGTCATCTCAGCACTGTGAAGGCTGAGGCAGGAGGACTGAGAGTTCAGGCCCAGCCGGAGCTGCACAGCAAGTTCAAAGCTAGCATGAGCTACACCGCAAGACTGTCTCAAAGGAAGAAAAGCCAGCTGAATTACACAGCCATATGTATTGGTCTTTCTAGAGAAAGATGTAGATGCTTGTACTTGAACAAAATCACATAAAACACCACAATTAAAGTAAACAATGTATTATATAGAAAAAAGGAAAAAAATCATGATTCATTAAGACTTAGGAAGGAGAACCACTTGATTGACAAATGGAGTTTCTCTCCTAAGATCTGATGTTGTTGAGAAATTTCCACTGTTTACCTAATATTTTAATACCACCTACATCCTTGTGGAGAAAGATGCAAAATTCTTGTGGTCTCAAGGCTTGTCTGTTTGCGTTTGTGTGTGTGATGCTAGCAGTCGAAGACAGCATGTTAAACACACACTTGACCACTAAGCGATGGCCCCAGCGTTGTCTGCTTATTGTAAAGCCAAGTGTTAATAAGAGACTCTAAGAAAACAGGAAAAGGTCATCTAGTTCTTTATCTCTGCCCTCCTAAGGCCCCCCAGATGACAAAAACTCAACTGTCAGTTTTCTTAGTAATTATTTAAACTCTGATCTAGATGATAGTATAGCAGAAGTATCATGCACTGTCTTAATTATGGCGCTGACCTTTGCGTGTCTCTCACATCAGCAGCTGTCAGTACTGGCTAAGCACACTACTGCTGTTCCCCTGAATCAGACTACAACTTCATCGTCTATACCAAAGGGCACAGGGATGAATTTACCTCTGAAGGAGAATCAGTAGTGTACTGCACCCTCTATATAGTTTGTTTATAAATGTAAGACAACCATGGCTTGACTTTTTATTTGTATTACCTATCAAGAGGTGCTTTAAGACAGGGATTTTTTATTTTTGCAAGCTCTTGACATGAGCACAGTTTTGGTGATGATACTATTTTATTTTTATTTAATCTTGTATCTTTATTCTACTTATTCGGTACAGGATCTCGCTGTGCTCAGACTCCTAGTGATTCTCCTGTCTCAGCCTCCTTTAGAGGCACGCGCCACCACGCCTGGTTTCGGTGGCTGGCACAGCATGCAGGTACCAGGGATTGAACCCGGGTCCTTGTGCTTGCCAGGTAGGCACTTGGATTGCTGAGCTATCTCCTCAGCCCAATTATTCCATTCTTTATCAGAATTATACTGTGTCCTCCCCATTAAAGTCAAATGTTCCCATACAGAATTCCTCCTCTGACTTCGTAGCCCACACATGGAGCAGGACTTCCTTCCTGTTTACCTCTCTTGAATCTGATGAAATGCAGACCTGGGTTTTGTGTTTCACTATTGGGTCCAGATGTGGCAGCCTTGCTGCTGCATCACAAGCATCAAACAGCCACCCTCACCTGATGTCTGGCCATCTCCACTCCCTCCACAATCACTGTCTTAAAGTCCTCCTCGTCCTGTGGAAGGAAAGAGAACTCAGAGCCTTTGTATCATTGAAAACTGCTTGGCCTTGAAGACCTTGTTTAAAGAGTGTAGGAAGATGCTTCCCCATCAGAGTACCCTAGTTGTATTACTGTGGGGCATGGCTTCTGGGAACCACCTGCGTGTCCTTTAGATAAGGGAGAGGTCTTCTGAGATCCGGGAAGATCTCAGAAGATCTCAGATGGCATGTGTCTTGGGGTCATGTGAAATGACGCTATTTCTGAGTTTGTCATGACTACTTTTCCAAGCCCTGTGATAGCAGAGTAACCATGTCCATTCCTAAACTAAATCCAGCGTTCATGCACATCTTTGTCCTTTTATTTAGCTCCTAAAGAAGCACTTGGGATTATACAGCGAGTTCTAAGAAAAACCTCCTTTTTAATCACATTCTTCCATTTCAGTGTATAGTATGTTGAATTCAGTTTAGGAACTGCTTCCTGATTGGAAAAATTTCTGATCACACAAAGCAGACACTACAAACTAAACCTCACAAAACTTACATCATCCCAAAACTGTAGTTTATTTTCAAAAAAATTTAATGCAAAAAGTGACAAAAGATTAATAACAACAAAGGCCCAATAATGAGTGTGGCAGTTTCATTAGTCTTGTTCTTGGCAGAGGTATGCAGTAAATTAATGTGATATGAAATGACCGAAGTGTAGCCTTCTGTTTGCAAACAGTTCATTTAGCAAGCAGAAGCCTAGTGCCCTGCGGCGGTGGCCGCCTCTCCAACGCCCGTGTGGCAGCGCTCTCCAGAACCATGCAGTGAACGGGGCGCCACTACGCATTTCACAACCTTATTTTCCTGCAGTTTGCTTATTTACGATACATGTTTTAAGTACATTTTCATCGTTAAGCCTGAAGAATATCTCCTAAGTAGAAGCTTTAAATTTTTTTGAATCTCTTCACTACCTTTTCAGTAGGTAATTCTTAGGGTTTTAAAAACTGCAGGATTTGCGGAGGAGGGCTTTGAAAACTATTAAAGTGGGACATGTTCAGTAGCAACAGTGGAAACTAGAAAATACACATTAAGGTCAAGTGTTGTTTGATGAGACACTTCAGACTTTTATGGGTATACTGGGCAGGATAAGGAATAGTTTAGGTTATAAGCAAAAAAAGAAAACGAGCTTTTAGTATGTACATTTTACTTCACAAATGGACTGCTAATTTCTTTAATCAAGGTTAGCTGATTCAATTCTAATTAAATGATCCTGTCAGTTTATTAAAATTTAAAATGTATAATCTCTTTAATCACTATTGTTGAAGTCAATCTGATATTTATTTTACACTTCCTTGTAGAATTGCATTTTTCTCAGTTAACTCACACCTGTTTTTCATCAAGGTGTTCAGAGGAATACTGTAGGTGCACTAAATTCTTAAGGTTTGACATAAGACCCTTCTAGGACTACGTTGCTAGGTCTTACCTGGGTAATCATGAGGTTTTTACTCTGAGAAAAACATATTTTAAGATAGATGTTATTAGCATACAAAAGACTTTTTAAAAAATGAGTACTGGGCTGGGATTTAAGCATTTGCCTAGCATGTACAAGGCCTTGGTATCAGTCTCCAGAGCTGAAAATCAAATATTTCCTTTATTTTTTATTTCTTGA